GGGCTTCGCCATGGTGAGTGAGGCTGAGGGGCCGCCGAGGTTGAGGGCGCGGCGGGGTAGACCCCTGAGAGGGCGAGTGAACCCGGAGCGGGGGCATCCGGGCCCCGGAGGGGGCCTCTGGGCCACCCTCTCGGGGGCATTTGAACCCAGAGCCGAACATTTGAATCCCAGAAGGGGGCTTCGGGGCTTTCAATAGCGACTTTAGTACCAGATGTGTTGAGATCCCCAAATGGGCATCTGAGCCTCAGAGGGAGCATTTGGACCCAGGATGGAGATCTGGACCCCTGAAAGGAGTTTTGGATCCAAGATGGGGCATTTGGTCTCAGAATTGGGGTGTATGGACCCCCAGGAGGAGGAAATAAGAAACGCTTGCCAAGGAGGGGGGCTATTGGGGCCCTGATGAAAGCTTTGGGTCCTAAGAGGATGCAGGGAAGAGGGAATGGAGGTGGCCAGGCTGCTGGGCTGCACCTAGAGGATGGCCTTGGGTAGCTGGACCTGATGGGAGGGGTGGCCACTGGGCTTCTAGGGATCAGGGGTGGGGGTGACTTCTGCACATTAGACCCCTGGGGGGAGGGGTCTCCAAGAACCAGCATTGCAGAGGAGGAGGAGGGAGAGGGGCAAGCTAAGGTGAGGAAGAACTGGGGGGTGGGTGGCATTGGAGATTAAAAGATGCTTTTGAAGCCTGTGGGGACTGGGAAGGATCCAGTGGTGGAGGGGGTTAAAGGGGGATGCCAGTATTGGGGAAACCGGGGCCCCTGTGGTTGCTTTGGAGGGTACCTGGAGAAGATTATTGGATAACTAGTGGGTTAAGACTGTTGAACTAGGAAGAGAGATTTGGAGGGGGAGGGGGACTGTTGTATTTGGGTCCATGAAAAGATGGGTTTCCAAGGTGAAGGATGGGAGAGGACTTTGGCTAGGGTGGTGGGAGATGATGAGGCTGAAGGGGAACTGGGGGAGGGGGTTGAAGGAGAAAATGAATGGCAACCAAGGTGGGCCTAGGTTTGGAGGTGGGTGTGGGTAGCTCCCTGCCAATCTCCAGGGAAAGGCCCAGACCAGGACTGTCCAGTCCAGGTGGGGAGTGGGCTGTGGAGGCTGGAGGGAATGGCTATGCAGTCCCCTTTCTGGAGAAGAATGGGACTGGGTGAAAGGCACCAGGGTAGTAGGAGCAGGTGGGTGGAGTTGTTCAGGCCCCTATTGCGCACTGAAGCTGCATGAAATGGGGGTGGGGATCAAAGTTTGGGGGTGCAGCAAATGAACCAGTTGTTTAAGCCTAGAAGCCTCACCCCCCTCACTGACCCTTTCAGGCCAAGAGCGCTGCCTTTTCCGAACAGGGTGCTGGCCACGCACTCTTCTGCATCTTCTCACTGGTGCCAAATGACAGTGCAGTACAGTACAGCGTGGCGTCAGTGACAATTGGATGCCTATTCCTGTGCCCTCAGGGTGGGGGCTGCAGAGCTGGACCTCCAGCAGACCCTTTCATCAGCTTGAGGGCCACTTGTTCCTTTCAGGGTCCTCACTGTGCTGCTGTCGGTTCGCACAGCTAAGGCTTTGGGAGAAAACCAGCAGACTAGTTCTTCCCTACTCCCTGCCACCCACAACACCCACAGCCCGCACACCCCCCCC